TTTACCTTTCTACTTTACACAGAAATCCGGCTTCAGTACTAATCACTGGAGTGCAGCTAATCCCTTAATTGTGATCATGTGCTTTCCATTATGATGGCCACTAGAGGGCATGTTGAGATCATAATTTCTACCGTCTCCGCTGCCTGTTCAGACATCAAAGCATGCAGCTGCTAAATGTCATACAATCTGATATGTATGTAATTAAATGTAATTAAATTAGCTGGCACTGATTTTTCCCTTTCAAATGACAGCGTACAGAGCTTTTCCTGAGCTCTGAATTTCCAAAGATCATTGGAAATTTCTTTCAAAATGCCATAAAGCTGCAGGTTTGCAGAGATCAGATAGATTGTTGTTGTTGTTGCATGAACAGCCCTGGTAACTGGTTATATAGAAAAAAGCAGTGTAAACATTCAAAATTAGTGTTGCCTGAAGAAGATAATAGTATGGAATTGAAACGACAAAAGGGTAGGCCTAGGTAGAAAATGACAGAATTATTATTTTGGCCTGAAATAATGAAACTTTTAGAGGGACCCATCCTCCTCTGGCTGCTATGTGTGTCCGCCATACACATCTGAATGTGCTCAGTCTCTGGGAATTTCATCTTTATCTGTATGTGATGAAGTAAACTTCTACCCACTGACAGTCTCACCTAAGACTGAATACACACACACACACACACCAGGACACCGATTAGGCTACTGCAGCAATGTTACTGCCTAAGGAAAAAATCAGGTTAAACTCAAATAAATGTACAGTACAGCAGGTAGACTGAAGTAACTAATCCATAATCCAGCACACACCTCATTTGATAAAGGTTAACACTGACTATAAAATGAAATATATATATAATGAAATTAATACTTTTATTTAGCAAAGATGCATTAAATTGATCAAAAGTGACATGACACTAAAGACTTTTAAATTTTAAAAGACATTAAAAATACTTTAAAAAGCGTTTACATTTAAGACTTTATAAAGACTTATATTTTAAAAGACATTAAAGGACTTTTGAAATTTATAAGACACTGAAGAAATTTAAAACAAATAATGTTCTAAGAACATGAATAATTCTGGGGGAAAAATGATCATGTTTATTACAAAGATGTTAAGCAGCACAACTGTTTTCAGCATTGATAATTTAAGAATAATAAATGTTTCCTCGGCACCGAATTAGCATATTAGAATGATTTCTGAAGAATCGTGTGAGACTGGAGTAATGACGCTGAAAATTCAGTTTTGCATCACAGGAATAAATTATATTTGAAAATATATTGAAATAGAAAACAATTATTTTAAACTGTAATAACATTTCACAATGTTACTGTTTTTACTGTATTTTTGATCAAATAAATGCAGCCTTGGTGAGTGTAAGAGACGTCTTTCAAAAACATAAAAAAATGTAATATAAAAATAAATGCATTTATATCAAATAAAATTCTGAATTAAAGAAATATACGGGTCAGAATTAAAGCAACTGATTTATTGACCTACTAGCAGGCAGAAACACACATATTTCCCTCCAACCCAAAGAATAATTTCTCGCCCTGTCAACACTCATACTGTCCCACATCAGCATGCTTATATCTGCACTAACACCTACAATCCCCATCAATAACACACACATCACCATCAGCGTGAACTTGAGGACTTCCTTTAAAGGGAAAAGTTAGTTCACCTCAAAATGAAAATTCTGTCATTAATACTCACCCTCATCTCCGAAGATGAACGAAGGTCTTACGGGTTTGGAACGACAAGAGGGTGCATAATTAATGACATAATTTTCATTTGGGGTGAACTAACCCTTTAAACTTAAAAAAAATCCCTTGATATTCATGAACTTTCTCATACTCCACCTCTCTAAATTCTCACCCGCACAGAGCCTGTATTTCAATGATTCATGTCACACGCTGTGATAAATCCACATCTGCTTTCAATACACAGGGACTATAGAGAACCCTTCAAGGACTTAAATTACTAGCTGGGTTTTAATTAAAAGCTAACAGGGCAAAGACAATAAGACACACTCTGACTGAAGGAGCCGTGGGACAGCAGGAGCGAGTGTGTATTAATCGGACTCACTCACTGCAACGTCCAGTATTGAAAAAGTTCCTGCAGCCTCCCGCTGTCTCCGTGTTGGCAGCTCTCCCGAGCCCATGAGGAGAGACAGGCTGGACCGAGCCATGCTCTGCAGCGTGATGTGGAGCTCAGTGGAGTGTTTGAGCGTGAGATTGTCTTGAGGAGCCATGTGTCAGATTTATTAAACAACTCAAGGGCAGAAATTGAAACGCCAGCCCACAGAAGCTGCTGCAGTCTGTTTAAAATGTAGTCAAGGCTTACTTGGTGCATTATGTTCTTCCTTGCAGTTTGTAATTTGTTGCAGGATCTTTGCAAGACACCCTTGAAACTGATTAAAATTATCACACATTAACCTTTAGCCACACACATGCTTGTAGGACCCTCCTACAGAGAGATAAGCCTGTTATATTAATGTTGCATCTCCCACTGTGTTAATGCTTGGAAAAAATTTAATGTAGGCCAGTGTATTGTTTTCTAGCATAGGAAGAGTACACACACTCTGTCATACTAAGACGTTTGTGAACCAAATTCAGACTTAATGACACGATAAGGCAAAGGGTTTAAAGTAATTACTGAAGATCTACTAAACTAAATATCACATCACATCACATCAGAATTCCATCATGGTTTTCCTCTCATTAGCAACATTACATACAAACGTAACTTGTAGCTATACTGTAGAAATGGCATTTTTATTTTTTTTGGAATAAAATGGCTAACTCACAAGGTTAATTTTATAACTGCCATTTTGTGTCATAAATGCACACAATATTGAAATTCAAATTTTTGCTCACAAGTGACATTTATCTTAATTTCTCTTTGTTTTCTTTACACGTCATATTTCATTCCAAGAATACTTTTTACGGACAGTATTGTGCCGATAATAATCAAGGACACTGAAATATTTTGATATTATATGATAAATAATTTGAAGACAAAAAAAATATTGAAAATATCTGCTGAGGGCCGGGGTAAGTTAGCCCTGTGGATAAACCTTTACAGAATGTATAAATGATTTGATATAATTCTTACGAATATTCATATATATTTAATATCATTAATGTAAATACTGTATCAACTATTCTATTTAAAATTTTATTTTGACAATTTAGTTGAATAATTGAATAAATGATGACAAATCGGACAAAGCAGAATCCATGTGAAAGAGATTAATCTGAAAGGTAAAATTATATACAGACATATGAATATAAATATTTCCATATTTACAGTAACTTCCAATATTTTAATTGAATATATGTCAAAATAGCAACATTATGAATGCTAATTTTATGATTTCACTCTATTAACCTATGGGTTTTAATGTGAAGATGTGTGAAATGTACATCTAATCCATTGTAATATTAAATAACCGCTTTTAATTAAAATAACTAATAAAGGTAAAATTAATAACACTAGTAACAATATGCCACTCTATTTATCCACAAACAGACACACTAAAAATATTCTATATAATATTCAACATAATACATAGTCATAGATCACTATTTTTCAGAGACAAAAAACTAGATCAAATAACCTTAAAACTGTTTTGCTTATTAAATCTCAGAAATGTTCCTATTCAGATGAAATGACAAAATGAAAAATAGCATAGCCATTCATCAAAAGTCCTGAGAAGAGATGTTGTGCCTTCTATGATCAAGAGAAAAAATTAAGGTGGGGTCATCTTGCCCTTGGGTATATCTTGTGTACCCCATCTTACACTATAAAAATGAATAGTTGAAAATACAGTCAAGTAGCCTACGCAGCTGCAGAGAATCTGTTCACCTCTAGAAACTCTCAGAGGAGTCAAATCCTGAGCAACCTGTTTGTAAATCAAATAGAGCTGATTGTTTTCTATTACCAAATATTTATCAAAATTTTAACATTTTCTTAATTAAAATGAACAATTTATTCTTCACTGAGGCATTCACAGCAGGACAGCATGCCTAATTTTTCTCATTATACCACCAAACAACTCCAACACATTGACCTTTTTACCCAAAAAATGGCATCTCTAATTACAGGACAGAATTTTTGTTTTAATAAGCATCTAATTAAGATGTTTAAAACAAACCTGCATCTGTTCTTTGTCCTATTTACAACATATTAAACATAATTACTACTGATGTTCTTATATTACTGCTACACTGATTATATGAACAGACAAAGACTTCATATGTAGTGTGCAACCCAACACAGATGATAATCCACCCTTCCAGTCTCCAAACTGTTTGTGTTTGTCCGATTTAGGGTCATAATCTGGTCGCATGTCAGCAGCAGCTGGTTGGTTCATTACAGACGGTCTGGTATGATGCCTGTCCAGCATGAGGGGCAATTAACTGCACCTGTGCAGGTACAATGCCTCACTGGGGTCTGTGCAGGTGTGAAGTAATACTCATCTACTGTTCACTGATCCAGAATCTGATCATTAATCACGGACCGCATTGGACTGAGGAACACTGGCCCAGCCGTACAAATACACACCGCTTTCTACCTACAGGTGCAGATCATCACTCTTCAGAGGCTCTCTAAGAGGTTCTGTCCACATGGCACTTCCAGAGATTTGCTTGATCGATCTTGCTCACAAAACTGAACAGAACAACTGAACTGAACATGTGTGAATATGGCCATGAACACATGCTGTGTTGAAGGACAGGAAAACAAAAAAAGCTATTGCAAACATTACACAAACACAGTAGCCCTGAAATTATATGTCAGAGAAACTCAAGTCCTACAAACTCTGCACATGTGACATGTCTATATCTAATAAAAGACAAAAATGATTTTGACAGCTGACATAATGAAATTCAGTTGTTTTTATTTCATGAAAAATAGCATGAAAATGATTTTTACCATTCAGACATTTAAATAAATATGTAACTTAAAAAAAGACTAAACAAATTGAAATAAAAACAATACCCTCCTCCTCCTTTCATACACACACAACTGCACAAATATACACCCTCTCCAGCAGCTACATGAGACAACTCATTCATTTGCTCTGTCTCTCTTATTTACACACAATCTTCATTTGAACTGGTTGTCAATGAGAGTTCCCTTCATCTTGGCTTTCTTCGCCTCAAGCTCCGCCTGTGTGGAGGGAAACACCATTCAGATTACATCAGATTCAGTTTAAATCTGTTAAATTATTTAAGTCAGACTCTGATACCACATCCTCTAACTGAATTTTTCTCTGTGGGTTTTAAAGATGGTAAATGGTAGCCTTTCCATTCACATATTCATAGTATTGTAAGCAACTATCATTAATTTTTTTTCTCTCAAATGAATCTCACTCATGTGCGAATCACATTAACAGAGCCTGTGTGAGTGTGAGTTTTCTTGGTGTGTGCTAGGGCTGTCAAAAAAAATTCATGTTTCAATGCGGAGATCTTGTTTATATCAAAACTGAAACAAAGCATCAAAACATCAAAGCCGTTCACACAGAACACATATTTTGCGCATGTTCTAGAGGGATATCTATCACCGTTGCACTCGCATCTCGCACAAGAGAGCCGCATGTTTAGAAAGCCATGTAAAATTAATGTAAATTCAACTTTTAAAAAACATGTCTCAAGACTTCATGGCGGTTTTTCCCCATCCCACTGTATCTCATGTTTTTAAAGGGGTCCTATTATGCTTTTTCACTTTTTGAATTTTAGTCAGTGTGTAGTGTGTATGTTTGGGCATAAAAAAAAGATCTTCAAACTGACAAATCTCAAAGTCCACTCCAAAGGGAGATATTTCGTTTTTAAAAAATCCCTTTTCAAGAACTACAACGAACGGCTCGTTTGGACTACAGCATTGTTTTCCGGGTTTTGTGATGTCACAAAGCGGCCCATTAGAATATCATTAAAATAAATTCCCGCCTACAGAAATTCAAATGGT